TGGTTGGGATTGGATTGTTCAAGTCAGCATGCAGCCTACGAGAGTCTCCTGGCAAAACCGGAGGGGGCAAGCTTTGTGAGCACTACTGTGCCTGGGAAGCCGGTGTAAAACTATCTGCTGTCCAGAGATGGGCTTTGCTTGGGCTCATAGGAGGTTGGTAGCATGACTGTGCAGACTGCCTGGCCCCTCATGGGGCTGCTCTAGTTCAGTCTTCAAAAGGAAAAACTTAAGATGGACTAAATCCAGCAGACGTCATTGTGGGCAGACAGGAGGTGAGAGCGGGTGTGAACTCAAACTTGGAGCCAGGGTAGAGAAGGGCTGTTTCTCGGTGCTGGAGAGGTTATAATGCAAGGGGTTGAAAGGAAGATGAGGAAGGGAGAAGTCTCTGATTGTGGAAGGGTTTAACTGGGAGGAAATCTGCCGCATTTCAAAACTGCACCTAGGAAGGGGCAAAAGTGAAATTGAACAGTAGGCATACATGAGACATTACTCTTCCTCTCTCTTCCTCTAACTGAAAGCACCCCAGTCACTCTTCTGATGGTAGAATCATTTGAGGGAAGAAAAAGGGTTGTTTTGGTTGTTGGTAACTGCTTATAAATGCTCTGTAGTAGTGATGATCCATTCTCCAGTTTTAGTCCAAGAATGTTTAGCTGAGAGGGGAAGAACATGTGAACAGCCACCTGCATGGCTGCTGACACCCTAGTTAGACTTTTGGCACTAGCTTACTGCTGGTTCCTTGCTACCTGTCTGAGGGTTGTAGGGGAAAGGGAAGAATGCTGTCCAAGTCTGTAGCAATGGAGAATTGCATCTTGCCATAGTATATACACCATTCTCTGACCAGCTGTTACCTGCTAAACTAGTAAATGTCTCTCCTATAAATATTTCAAGAGCCAGGGGTAACTTGAAATTCCCTGGTTTTGTCCATGTTTATGTTGAACATTTGAGCATTCATAGCAACATAATGTAACTGTGTCCTGCCTTTTTGGTAATTTTGGTAGTAATTTGAAGCTTTAAAAGGGAGACATAATTAGAAAGACATTACCTCAGAATTACAAAACATACTGTAACCAGTCTTCCTTCCTTGAAGGATCACTGATATATGTATAGCATAATGGATAGTATAGTTAATAATGCTGAGTGGCTAATCAGGCAAACTGGGGAGCTTGCAGCCATCAGAAAACTGTTGGTATTGCTGCTGCTTCACACTGTTTAAAATGGCAACCATAGGCACTCTTACATGTATGTCAAGATCGATCTGCTGGAAATAATACCAAAGTCCAGTTTGTTTTTCCATTACTTACTTGCACTTTTCAGTAGATACCAAAAAACGCTTGTTTTCTTGGAGGTTTACTCCATCGTGCTTTATCAAGACCTTGTACTGTAGGCTTAGACAGGACTTTTTGCCAGTTAAGAAGTTGAACATTTTTAAAACAGAGCCCTTTGAATTTTTAAACTCACAGAGAAAATCAGAAATGCATTAAGCAAAAATCCAAAATTCAACATTTTCAAGAGGTTAGGCATTGAAGGGCCGAAACAACTATTAGTGTTAGCTTTAGGTTTAAACAAAAGCAGCAACAACAAACAGTATCCTTCAAAAAACTCCTTTTGCACTTAGTATGCTCAAAATTTGTGTTTGGAAAAGGCTTCCAACCACTCATTTCCAGATGCCATGTAGCTCAGTGAATTCCAGTTGCTCAGTGTTCAGCTCTAGATGTAAAACGTGTTGATGTGTTTTAAAATAGTGGACATGAAATTTCAGAATTTGTGAATATGTATTTGGCTTTACAGTCTGCCTCATGTCAACATTCTGTCATTGTGTGGTTTTTTAGGCTCCAGTGCTGTTTAAAGGAAGCCTTAACTTTTTCTTGACAATAACCACCTATGATGGATTGATATGAAAGGATGATTATTTGAGTAAGGATATGAAAGCTGACTTCAGAGCTTCCTGAAGAATGAGCTTTGTTCTTTGCTTATTTCCATTCCAATACAAGAGAGACTTTAACATAGTTCAAGTAACATGGTTGTTGCATGGAGACTTTTTTTCTAAAGAATTGCCAACTCATTAGTTCACTGTAGAGGAATGCAGTATTGCTGGTATCCCACTTCAGTGACTAGATTAAATAACTGATGAAAGCCTGTTACTTTGATGCTACTGCTTGTTTTGTTTATAATAATGGTTGACTAAATATCCTGCTTTTATGCTCATTTCCAATACTTTTGTTTGTATTCCATATCTTCCTGCTTCTGTCTTCAAAACCTTTGCATTTAATTCTGTGTAACTCCTTTCTTAGGGAATGGTACTTATTAAAAAACTTCTAAAACCATTAGTTGAAGTAATACCTAGAGTAGTTTCTTAATCATCTTTTGTCATTACTTAAATTCTCCCTCAAGCTGGGCTTTTGAAAAATGCATTTGAGTGCTTGAGTAATTTAGAAGCATTATAGGAAAGTACCAAGCAGCAGAAAAACTAAGAGAAAAGGTGATCTGCTTAGGAAAGGTTTGACATGCTTTTGAAACTGGACATGCTAGAGATTGCTGTGCTCACTGGATAGGTTTGAGTTCAGAGCACTGCCACACTGCGGCCTCTGCAGAGAGGTTGGGCTTGCTGCAGATCGTGTATAGAGAACATGCTGTACTAGACAAGACTCAGATTTTCACATGCTTATTTTGATCCCTCTTGAGTGAAAATCACTGTGAAGAAAACAGGATTTTGTTCCGGTATGTTTTGGAACGGATGAATGAGTCCAGCACAATGGCTATCAAACATATTACCTTCACCTTTAAGTAATCAAATACAGCTGATCAAATGCATTTGTTCCTCTAGCTCCCTTTTGTAATGTAGAACATTAACTCACTAAGTCACACAAACTTTAAACACAGTGTTTGCACAGTGACACTTCTTTCTGTTTGTTTTTTGGGGGAGTTGTTTGGGTTTGTACCTTGTTTTGCTGGGAGGGTATTTACAAAAGGAATTCTGACTGGTTTGGATTAGTTATTTTCCTGGTATGTTGACCCATTAATGAAAAAAAATTTTAGAAAACATTGTGGTAAGCTTTATAAAGCTGTCAGGTTTGTTCTATGACATGCAAATGGGGCAGAAAGTTTTTTGGTCAAACACATACATTTGTTTCTGTTATGTTGTCTGGAGTGCAGTTTCAGAGGTGTTTTTAAAAAGCGTGAATTTATAGTGTTCTCATAGCACAACAAAGCTTGTATGCTCTTTAGCATGTTCCATATATTCAATTGTCCCTTTCAATAACTTTCAAAAAATTCTAAAATATGGCTGATAATTTTGTCTCAGAGGTTTAATACCAGGCTACAGTAAAGCTATGTACAGAATCAGAGTTCTGCATGATTAGTGACAGGTAGTAACAGTGTTCCTGTGAAGAGACATCTGATGAAGAGCTTGTTTAATTGCTCATTGAAGTTTGTGTGTTATATTCTGTGACCAGTACTATGTAATAGGCTAATGCAGGTTTAGTATATGTTATGAGGCTTCTCTTTTGTTTCTGAATTGATCTGAACTGAGGGAAGTAGCTTGGACATACCTTCATTTACCAATCCTGTTCCTGGTTTTGTCTACTTGATACAGGATGTTTTGAGGCAAGTTACCTAATCCTGTCACACCACCTACTGTTGAAAGACAGACATGGGCATGTTTTTATTTTCTAAAATTTAATGCAATCCCCTTAATGTCATGATTTCCTGGGTTTAGTGCAAATTGCAGGTTTCTTGGTCATTAGTATTTAGGAGTAGAAATCGTGTAGTAGAACTAGTGTTGCTTAAAGTGAAATTAATAGCTAATTTTGTCATATTTCAGCAGTCTTCTAGCTTTTAAGCAAAGTTGAAATGTTGTTTATTGGCAAGAATTAATGAAGGGTATTCCCTTTAAATAGAAATTTGATTGGTCTATGTAAATTCTTAGACGCTGTAGTTGCTTCTTTTCCTTTAAGATAAACTCTCAGCTTTGAAAATGGCAGTGGCATAAGAAATCAAGGTATTTTAGATATATTTTTTAGAAAATATTTTGTTATAAGAAAAACTAAGTCTGTCTTCTCTGTTTTTGCACAAAAATGAAAACCTCTTATCCATATTCAGAAAGCTGATACTAAGATCTTGGTACTGGGGGCTGGGAGGAATAAACTCAGAGCTGGCAAGAGAAATCTGTGTGTGTATATCTTCTCTGGGCCATTGAAATTTTAATCTGGGTGCCCACTTCTCAGGAAATAAACTGGAAGCTTAATTTGTCTAAATTCAGATTTTCTTGTGGAAAGTGTATTTGCTTTGTTAGTAATGCAAGAGTGAGCTCCTACACCTATCTCTTGTGTAGGTGCTTTTCCTGTTTGATTAACTTAGCTGTTGGGTGCTGGTGTTCAACAAGCTCAAATGAAAACTGGACTTAATGCAAAAATGTTTCTGCACCAACTGGCATTAACAACTTGTTTTTGGAAGTGCTGTTAAACAAGTTCTGTAGAACTACTCAGTTTTCAGGATATGTATTATATGAGTACAAAGCAATTTCATACTCTCATGCTGTCTAATTCCTTGAAAGGATACTATCTTTTAGAGTGTTCTGGCCAAGGGGAGTGGGGTTGTGGATCTATTTTGGGGAGGAACAAACAGAAGAATCCTTTCTGAGATTGTCTTTGAAATGGAAGTTATATTTTTGTGGGATTGCCAGTACAGCAAACCATAATGTGAGGTGGGAAAAAGGAGAACACATTTTTTAATATGTGCAGATGTCTGCACTGAAGGCAAATCTATTAAGCTCCTGACTTGTTTCTAAGGCTTTCTATTGGAAAAAAGCCTTGGAACTATTTTTATGTATTTACAGCACTTTTTACCATGTCAATAGGAAGTAGATTAAGCCATTTTATATGGATTTTTACTGTGTAAATATTTTTATTTGTAGGCATACACTTAAAAGAAGCGATCATTTAAGTTTCTTTCCTACTTCTTTTGTTCTTATTTCTCCTTCCTCTTTCCCCCCTAATTAACAGGTGTAGGATCTCTGCCAGGAGAGAGGCATGCCTCAGTGAAAAATTCCCTTGCCAAATCCAAAGTGCCTGTCAAAAGATCAATGCTTGAGAGAACACCTAGCCTCTCATCAGTCAGCAGTGCTCAGAGCGAGCAAAGTCTTTTCAGCACTAATTGTAAGTATATGTGAGGGTTATGGGTTTTAACTGATTGATAACCAACATCAATAGTAAATGGTAAAAATTCTCTTGGAAGGGAGTCCTGTCTGACAAGTACCTGAGTTAATTCTGATGGTACTGCTTATTACTTCTAGGTCTTACTCTTTTTGCCTCTTTACTTAAAACTTTCCTTTTTGAGACATACTGTCGGAAAGAGCTTTGAGCCCTGGATTTTGGTTTGATGAGTAGAGATTTTAGTACAACTTCTCTTCCATCCTGAAACACTACATAATCAGCATGTCTTTTTAAGCTCCTAGTGTTTACATGTAGTATGATATGTCTGAACAGAATGGTTTACTTGTCAAAATATTTGGAACAGTGTGTTACAGGTTTTCTGATGCTAAATGTTTTCTTGAACCAGTTTATATCTGCTTTCAGCATTTTAGGACAAAATATGTAGATCAAATTTCAGGCACAGAAGTGAAACTTTTTTTAGAAGATGAACCTTTGTGTGGGTAGACTTCGGTAATTTCTAAGATAGCTGTAAACATTGGTGTATGACCTAACCAAATCAATCTTGATTAAAATTAGTGAGAATAATACCAGGATTTGCTTTGATTTGAAGGTCTACAGCACTTCTTAGGAGTTCTGAGGGGGAAAAATATTAAGAAACTAACATACAACTGACTATCAAACATATTAGTATTCCCAGCTATGCATATTTAAATAAATACATTCAAATATTCTGCTACTATTGTATCACCTGTTATATCTTGAAGACTAGACAAAGACCTTTTATTTGTGCCAGATGTCATTTAAATCTGTCTTCAATTGACTGAAAAAGAGAGCTGTGGTTTAACACACGTCTGTGGTTTATATATGCGCATATGCATGCACATATAACAACATTTTCTCCTATTCTTCTCCCCCCTCCCCCCCCACCTCATACTGCCTTCATTAAACTAAACCTCACATATTCCTCTAATGAATAAGAATATGTGTAATAAAATACGCATGTGCATCTTGCTCTGTAATGGGATCAGTTCTGATACTGTGACAGCCATGTTGACTTTTGCTGTTCAGGTTTAGAACTGTATCTGGAGTTGCTAAGCAGCTTTGTCCTCTCTTAGTTTTGCTCCCTCATGTAACAAAGGAAGGGGTCAGCGCTTCATAACAAAGGAGTGTATTCAGATTAAGTATCCAAACAGATGACTCCTTATTTAGCCTGATTTGCTGGCTGCTGTAATCTGTTTTGTCCACTGCCTTCAAGCTTACAATTTCTTCCACTCCGATTCACGAAGACCAAGCAAGAGCAATGTGAGAGGCTGAACATGGCTGCAGTCTCATAGACTTTAAGCTCGCTTAGATCTTTTTTAAATGACTGTACCAGGAGGACTCCGCAGTTGCACAGAAACTAATTTTTCTCCTGTTATTTTCTTCAATTCTACACTAACACCACCGACTGACTCAGGAAGCCACTATGATATTACCTTACTGACACTGCTGGTAGTGGGGTCTTACAGCTTTTGTATTGTTCCTTTGTTAGCCACGTTTACTGGGAAAAGAAGTAGGTTGTATTCCTTTTATTTCTATTCTAAATCATGTATTTTGTTTTGTGGAGGTTGGTAAATATATGCAATGTTTTGATCTGCTGATTTCTGTGATATTATTTTTCTTTAGGGAATTTTTTACACTTGATGAGAATTATTTGTATCTAATAGTAAGGTTTTGTGAGTATAATAACTTAAGATTATGTGTAATTCATATGTTAATGAAATTTGACTTTTAATCAAATTGGAAAGAGCTAAGGAATTTTCTTTGTATTCAAATGCTAAGTACAGGGCTGTTTTTGTTTTTTATTCCTGCATTTAGTCTACTATGTAACAATTTCAGAAAAAAAAAATTGAAGCTTAAGTCTTTTTATTAGATTGGTGGGACACACAAAGATCAGAATGGGAGGTTTATGCTGTGTGTTTCATGAAATGTATGACAATCTACTGCGGTCCTGTCAACAATATTAAATCAAAAACATGCTTGGCTTGTTTGGAGTTTGTCTTCTGTTAGCAGAGAAAAAAATGGCAAGCTGCTGCTTTGTCAGCTCAGCCCTTTGTTATGGGATGTCCTTGGATTGGTAATTCTGTGTGGCAGCATTAGCCTTGGGTTTTTTTTGTGTAATGAGCACTTGAACTTTATGATTCTTTTCTCTAAAATGACTTCTTATTTGAGAAGCTCAAAAATCACATGTTTTGAAATCCTGTTGTTAATAAAAGCATATTTTGTATGCAGTCAGTTTGAGCATTAAAAACCAGACTTTTTTTAACAGTAATTTTAGTTTAGTGCTGAGCTGAAAATGTCTATCCTTTGGACAGACAAAATATTTAACTCTGAGGTTAAGAAAAAATATTGCAGATTTTAATTGCATTAGAATAATTGTATATATAGTAAATAGTGTTTCAAAAGTTAAAAAGCTGATCCTAGCAGCTGACCTGCATCTGCATTTTTGTGCAGCCAATACATCATTAAAATTCTTTTAATGAGTTGAGTTTTCAGGTCTTTACTGGGCTGAGATAATTTCATACCTGTCCATCTTTATTCAATATTGCAATAGCTGCACCAAATTTGAATACAAAAGTGATCAAACTCTGTAAACCTGGGAGGTTTTCGTGGGATCATTTTGGTTTTTTTTAAATTCCTGCACACAGCCTGGGTAGCTGACTCTGGAGCTTTAACAGGACAGAACAGTCCCCTAACTAGTCCTGCACCAGAAGGCTGCTCACGCACCCAAAGCATTGCTACCATGGTGTGCTGCTGATTTAGAGGAAGTAGCTCACTAGTTTGCAGGCAGTTGTTAACTGTTTGCAGTGAACTCTGAGCAAACATCTTTAATTTAGTAATTCACAAAAAAAGTTAAGGACTGCTTCACGCCTTGTGCTTTACTAAAACAAATTTGGTTTAATTATATAATGTTGATCAGGGTCAGATGCCCACACAATAACTGTGTTGCTGATGTGTTATGCCAATTGCTCCTCAAGTATAGATTTTTTGGCAAATATTTAGCTTTTGTGTTTTTAGAGAGGCTCCAACTTCCTTTTTTTTAAAAAAGATGACGGCTTCAGTTGCATGTGTTTGTTAAAGGGAAATCCTCTTTCTGTGGTAGAAAATATTTAGTGGCCAAAAGCATCTTTTTGAAGTAGTTAACTTACATGGTTTATACTAGTCTGTTTAAAGCTAATAAAATAATCTCAAGATTGAATGCTCCATCTTTTGATGAACAATATTAGACATGTAGCTCACATTGCCTTTAAGAAAAACCAGTCTCATTAAAACACTTCTCTGAGGCAAACCTGGTAATATATGATAAAAGCTTCCCCCTCCCCCACCCTTTTGTTTTTGAGTGACTAGAGAGAAAAGCATTGCTGTGACAAACAATTCCATAGTGACTTAATTTTTTCTTGTCACTAGTAAATGCCATGTGAATTCTTACTCTTTAACATGTTAATATACATAATTTTTTAGTGTCCAAACCAAAGTCTACTCAATCTGTACTTACTTTAGAAATATTTCCTTTTTTTTTTTCTGACAACAGAAACAATGTTTCCCAAAATTTCAGTTTTTTGTTTTTCAAGGAAAAATTTTTCTTGTGACCATAAACTCAAACCTCTTTCAAGGTTGTTTAGTCTCTGGTAAAACTGACTTGTCTTATGATTTAACTTTCTATAAACTATAAATGCCTAGAGCAAATTCCTTTGTGATTCTGTTTTGCAGCTGCAAGTGCCACAGTCATCAGGAATGGAGAATGGCTTTCAAAACCAGCCTGCCAGAATGGCACTTCAGGGTCTGTCCCTTTGAAAGCACTACCAAGACCTAGATTGCACTCGTTGAGGTCAACTCCAAAAGGTATATGAGCCTGTTTGTAGACAGAGGAGGTAAAATCCCATCACAGGTGCTTCAAGTGTTGTAAGACTTCATAGGAAGGCTGAAACATTTTGTATTGCCATAATTGACGGAGGTATTTCAGGGAAATGAAGAGGTCTACACCACGGTACAGCTCAGGTTTGCACGGTGCAGGGATTAAACGCCCCTTGCTACATGGCAGGTGTCATTGCATGGGGTTTGTGTTGTTTTACAGTTTACTGTGTACCACTGATGGTGATCTGCAGAACAGATATACCTGAATTTATACTGAGTGTGTGGTTGTTCTTGTCTTTATGCAGACTTTGTATTATCTTCACCCTTTTCAGGACCGTCAGGGTCTTGGGGAATGGAGATATATTTTTGAATAAGATATTGTTAAAATGTATCTTCTGTAGATCAGTGGCACTGTCCCATCTTTCGAAGGGAAGAGTCACAGAAACTTAGATGTTAATGTTGCTTTTTCTTGATATTCTTGGGCTGAATTAGAAGATTTAAAGGAGATGAGACAATTAATTGTGTTTTATCATCTTGTGCTCAAAGAAACATTAAATGTACTTCCTGACTTTGTATTAAGCATTGTTCAGGTTCCTATTTTGGTTCGAGCTAGCAACTCTTGATTGGCCAACAGTGCAACTTCCACTGAGGCCACAAGCAGCAGCTGACAAGTCATTCTCTGACCAAAATTAAAGACATAATGGGAGCGGATAAATAAGCTTGCTGTGTCTCTTTCCTAAGTCCTAGCTGTAATCAGCTTGTTTCTGACCATCTTTGTGGTGAACTCGTTATTGTAATTGGATAAAACCTAATTAAATGCTGTACTCCTGCATTAGACTTAAAATTTAAGCTGGTATCTGACATAATGGAGAATAAATAAGAGATGCCTGCCAAATGTTTCACTGTAATGACATGCTTTAAAAGAGTAAACAGTGAAAAGAAACAGAATTGGCCACAAATTATAAGTCACTTTGAAGCAAACAGGAATCATATGGCTTTCTGACAGGCTGATGCTTTCTGTTGGGGTCCAGCACATGCAGCCCAGCTATGCATAGCTCATTGTCTTCAGTGACCTGGCAGTGTGCCTTGAGCACCTGCAGGAGCAGTGTGGCCAAAGGAAGCTGGCATTCCCCTTCAGATCTGGATCTGGTGTTGTGTTTTGGGATCTTCCCAGACGCAGTGGAGGCTTAAGAAGATGGGTGGGGTCTCTGTCCAGTGAGAAGAGGTTGAGGGAGTTGAGCCTGTGCAGTCAGTAACTTGAAAAGGACAGCTATAAAGGTCATGCTACCAAACTCTTCTCAGTAGCACCAGATCATGCAGCAATCAGAAATGCTTGCAAATTGTAGAGTGGGAGATGCATCCTTGCCCAGTGGTGCCATAGAACCACCCTTCCTGGAGGTTTGCAGGGCCCATCTAGACAAAAGCATGGTCAGCTGATCTCGTCTTAATCGCGACCCTGCTCTGCATGGGAGTGCTGCTGTCTGCCCTCTGGAGGTCTCTTGCAGCCAGTGTTTCCTTAGCTGCGTTTTATTTGCTGCTGTTTTGAGACTTCAATAACTTGATCTTAGTGCTAAAAGGAAATCCTTACTAATGTTTTCTCCTGCTTAGAAGGCTTTTTAAATTATCTTTATATTTCTTCCAACGTGAGTTCTGGCAAAGCAGAGCTAAGTTTTAATACAGCTTAAACATTCTAAGTTTCTCTTTTTGTGTTTGAATAGATTTGTGGATCTTGTACTTAAATGTGAAAATGTAAGATATATCTTTAATTACTTTAAAACTTTAAATAGTTCTACTTTAAAGTTAATCTAAGCTTTTACTTTTAGGAGCCAAGACCAGGTCTGCTTCGCTGAACCAGTGCACACCAAAATCATCTGGGCCTCTACACTTAGCAAGGAAAGTTGGTGAGACTAGAGGTAATCAGCTGTTGGGTAGTCAATTTTTCACTTTTTCTTGGATCTCTCTGGCTTGAGAAGGAGCAGCTATGTTTTATGATTTTAGAATAATTGGGATAGTTGACTCATTTTCTTTGCAGTTTGCCAGACTGGACACTGGCTCTGCAAGGTTCTGTTCCTTACCTGTTTGCTTTAGGGATATTCATTGTCTACTACTGTCTGCTTGAAATTTGCATCCCATAAGGACTAAATATGCAGCATAATTAATCTCTCTGTTAAATGATGTTCTGTCACCTGATTATGAGGTTGCATGCTTGCAAGACACAGTGTAGGCTGGATTTTGCCAAGTTTGTGTTTAATTTAAGCAAGATTCTTGTGAGAGCATGCTGATCAGCCCTGGCTGCTGAGGATGTTTACTCCACTTTGTTTCTGTATCAGATTTTTTTTTACCTTTAACTTTGAATTAAAATGAGTTATTTCTCCTAGAGTGAATCAAAAGAACAGACACAAACCTTAGGATAGGGTTTGTAAGACCAAATTTTCAGTTTGGGAGCAAAGCTCTATTTGAAAGGCTGAGGTAGAGGGAAGCAAGTGCAGTGGTGGTACAAAGCAGCTTGTTTCCTGAGGAAACCTGTGCCATAGGATCCACACTATTCCTAAAGCCTGCAGAAGGGTGTTGTGAAAAGACCTTTTATGAACTTCTGCACATGACTTTTGCACTTACATTCAGCAGTCCAAAAGATTGCTTTCATTCAATATTCTTCAAAATAATAAAATTTACAGGTCAATTTTCATGTAACTTTTAAGTAATACAGTAAGGATGGGGTAACTTTCTCAGTGCTGTCATTTATATCTAACTTGATTGTTAGCACATTTGAGAATGTTGGTAGTTTATTGCTGCTCTATGCAAATAACATAACTGTAGCATAGAGAAGGAAAAAAAATGCTATTATACCAGTATAGATGATAGTTTTTCATTTTCTGTGTCCTCTTTGAATGAGTAAAGTGAAACAGTGCTACCTGACTTAAAAGAAATATAGTAATTGTAATAATACAGTTGTAATTGGGAATGCATCCTGCATTTCCCAAATAGTTTCTTATAATGCCAAATCTTGCTGTAGATCATGCCATCAGTAGAAAGAAGCTGAAATTGGAAAGCTGGAGGAGCTTATGTGGAAAGAATCTTGAATCTTAAAAAAAGGCAGCCGTACTGCCCCTTACTGGCTTGAAGTGTAATTTTTTGTTTGTTTCCTTTCTGAAGGTACTCCTGGAAGAAATGTACACCAAAGCCTATCTTGTTTGAGTCCTGGTGAGTTTTCTGAGTGCATTTTATATTTTCTGTGGTGCAACTCAAATTAAGTTTATATATTATATTAGTGTGTTGGTTCTTTTCTGGGAAGAACAGATGCATAATGGATAATTCTGTAAACTATCACGGACTCTAATGTCAAGGAATATGGAAAAACCTATTTTCCTGGGTTTTGTCTCCTTCCTGTTTTCTGACTACCCAGCTTAGGCTACACAGTCTGGTCTGTTCTTCTGTTTCCAGTGAAACCTAACGAGGTTTAAACAGTATGCAAAAAAAAAAAAAAAAAAGGACATTGAATTTGGATGTATTTTTTACTTTTTAGCCAAAGTAAGTAATGAATGAATTTGTGTGTTGCAGCATTAAAAAATACCCCAAAACCAAACAAATAGAAGAATCCCACATAACCTTCCTTTTCTGGTACGTTCATGTAGATCACCTGTCAGTGTGAGCTGCCTTTGTGTATCACTGTGGACTATGTTTGTGTAAGAAGTTGAAGTTATCAGAGCATGTTGATGTGAGTGTCTGCTCATGTGGCAGAGGGAGAAATCTCAGCTGATTAAGTGGCAGATGGCGTTTCAGAATCTGGCAGAGTTTTAAGGACTTCACATTGGGTTTGTTTTTGGTGTTCGTGCCAGTCAGGACACCTGGTGCCAATTTCTGTCTGCCAAGAGACTGAAAAGTCTTCAGATGCTGCTTCTACTTGCAGCAGTTTCCAGGTCTTTTCAAGAGAATTGGCAGTCTAAATTAGTTTCCCGAGAATCAGTGTGTGTTTGTTGAATTAAAAGCTACTTGTAATTAATTACTCATTGAAAAGCCCTTTTTGAAAGATACTGAAGATCACCGGAAAGCCCTGTGTCCCCTGAGTGAATAGCAGATGTCTTTCTGAAAGAGGGGCTGTAGCCAAGCAGATGTTGTAAGTTTGAGTCTGAAATTACTGGGCAAATCAGTTCTGACCTGTAACTCTGGAACTGTGGCAGTATTTTTTACATTTCCTGTAGTCATAACATGCATTTAATACTTTTGTCTTTTCCTCTCTTGGATGTCAAATATATTCATATTAATTGTGGCTGAGTACTTCGATATCTTCTGTTAAGAGTCAGGGCTTCTGTCAGACTTTGCCCAAAGTTGGCTCTGTTTGTTGCTTTTAATGTTATTGGACTGAACTAATGTTAGTTTAGGTAAAGCCTGACACTGAGTTTCAAGAGCTCCGATGCTCAAACCTAGTCTATTGTATAAGCATATACAATATGCTTTAGTAGGGCATGATTCAGCTAGCAACATTGATCAGTTCAATTGAGGAAACTCCTAATAAGCAATAAAATCCATGTCTGGACTAGAAACTAGAAAAGTAAATTTCTCTTATGCTTGCTTACAGTAGTCTCAAAATATAACTTTATTTCCCTCAAAATTCAGTGTGTACTTTCTCTCTACTTTCCAGAAAGTGTTCCCTCCCCTTTTTACTGGTTTAGTCGACTTTTGCTTATGATTCATCTTTTCTGACCTAAAGAAGAGTGTAGCTACATAACTTTGAAGTGTTGGATTTGAAAAACACAGCCAAACTCCAAATTGACTGTAATATTTAGCAATATTTTAATAAATGCTCTTTACTCATACTTATGCCTATAAAATGGCTATATTTCAGTTTGTTTTGACAAACCTGAACTGCCTACTGTACTGAGTCAGTTTCCAAAACTGGAGATGTTAGACATTCAACTTAATACATTTCTAAGAGAGAATTAGTATAATATCCCATTTATGAATGCAGAGCTGTCTGGTGGAGTGTTTTGCAGTTTTAAGAATCTTTTTTCCATCCTTACAGTTGCAGATAGTTCTTACAGAATAAAAATACTGTGTGACTGCTTGGATATTCTGCAGTACAATGTCTTACATTTTAAGAAAAGACAAATGATCTTTTTTGAAATGAACTGAAATAATGCCAGCCAGTACCATGTAGAATGAGGCCCAGTATCTTCTTTTTTTTTTTTTTCTTTTGGCTTTGATATTACAGTGAAGCTTTGTTCTAATGACTACAGCTAGTATAAAGCTTTTGTTCTTTTATTTCAGTGCCGTATTAAAGTCTACAGTTTTTAGCTTTATCCAGTCAGAAGTTCCAGCCTCACTTCTCTTTCCCACCCATGTGCCCAGGACTAATTTGTTACAGCAGAGCTCTGGTAATTTATTAACTCTTAACTAAGAGTTAATATTTTAACTCCTAATATCAGAATTCTGATATTAAGGTATAACTAAGTGTCTAGCTCGGTTGTTCATCCTGCCTTTCACATTTCTTCAAGGATGAGAAAATAGCAGGTTTTTCTAGGTACACTTCTGTTCCCTTAATGTTAGTGCTGTTTCTCCATTTTCCGTTCATTTACAGCAATGATGCACAGCCAGAATCTGCTTGATGAAGCAGGCCGCAACATACTGTTAGTGTGCCTGTAAAACTGGACAGACTTGCCTGTTTGCAACAGTTTGTTTCTTGTTTGTGTTAAAACATTCACAAGGCTTCTTTTTCTGAATTCTGTATTTTTCATGGGTGATGCTCAGTGCATTAGATAAATTCTGCAAGTTCTATGGTGTATTTCTTCAGCACTGGCTTTAAAGCTAAGGCAGAATTAAGTTCTTGGGCATGTTTTATTATACTTCTTAACTTTCTAACTGCAAGTAATGATGTTTATGTGCACTTGCTGTAATATCTTAATGTAAATATGAATTAAAATGTTGCCTCTTATGAGATGGAATTTTGAACTATATGCAAAACTGTCTCTAAAAATGCAAGTGCTGTTTCCTTTTTACTTCAGCTTCCCTGTAGAAAAAGCTGGCTGTGTCTAATGCCTCTGTAGTATATTACAGTGCAGGGTGGGTGGAGGCAGTGGGTATTCACACCTCAGGTCTCTGTTACTGGCCAAACATTAAGTTACAGCACAGTAATCTCTGAACCCATGTAAGTCAAGCAAAAGCAAATATCCTGTTTGGCAGTTCCAAAGGTAAAGCAATCACTTTGGGAATAAAGCATGTGAATATTTGGCTTATCCTGTTTTTCCATGACCCTGAAAGGGATCTGTGGTGTATTATGAATAACAAGTTAGACTTACATGTGCTGCATAGGACCATTGTCAGGATAACAGCAAGGACAACTGATGGATACACCTGTAAAGTGTTATTCAATATGAACAGTGTGATTTATGTTGTATCTTTTAGCACTGGGATAGAGTATGCAGCATAGAATTGGTTACTAAAGGCTGTAGAAGCCATGACAATCAAAGAAGCTTTATGAAAAAAGGGTACATGCTCCACCATGGTGTTCTGTTTTCTTAGTATCTTAAAGAAAGGATGTTTGTTTTAGTTCAGCTGTTTGTGAGAAAATATAACGCAGAGAGGGAAGAAATTAAGTCAGGGGGCTTATTGCAGCAGTGAGTAATAGTGCTGATCAAGCTCAAATGGAAAAATAAAGTATAAATATAACAGTCTAAGAAGTTTTCCCTTGGAACAGGTTGTTAAAGGTGGGGTCTGACTCTTCACTCAAACCTTTATACTGGGATAAGATGCTTTTGCTAACAAAATTCTCTGGTTCAGACACAAGTTGGAGGCATACTTTAAGGTTCAGTTTACACCCCTTTGTTTCATGCTCTTAGTCATCCCTGTTGAAACTTGAGAGGAAGCAGTTCTTATATTGTAGATTCTGTGATAGAAAAGGTTACTCTCAAAATACTTGCACTTTCCAGGTCTGAAAAACAAGGATTGATGTTTATCACACTCTGATTGTGCTTTGTCAACAACAAACAAGACTTAATATTTTAAAATTAGATGTTATACTGTGTCAAAGTGTATTTTTCTTAAAAGCTGGGAAGAATATTCTGAGATGTGATGCATATTGTTTTGAGTGTCAGATACTTAGGTCTCCTGTTGACTGGCATTCAGCAATGTATGGCAAATTACCCCAAAAGATGAGGAATAACTGCTCAAGTAACTCATTAGGGCTCTGTTTCTCCTTTTATATCTGATTAGAAGATCTTTAGGGAATTGTTATTGATTGGAGAGTGGTGTGTATTTGCTTGTTAGAGTTTTTGCAAGTGTAGAAGAATCTGTGCAGGCAGTGGTGTTGCTTGGAGACTTGAAAAGGCCTTGATAAGTATGTGAACATACATGCCCTGACAGCCAAGAGGTGCAGGTCTTCCACATTGCAGAAATGGGACTTCTGACTAGCTCTAACTGGGAATTTAAATACAGAAGCATTGGATACTCTGGATTCTCAGTCTCTGGTGTTAAGAGTTTCAGCATTTGTAAATAAGTTGGGTTCATCAGTTTTTCTGCCTCTGTCCCTGTCTCCACAAGAAAAGTCAGGAAATCCAGAAGAAGAACTTGGAACAGTTTTGTATGTTTTGGGGTGATTCTGTATTCATTTAAAACAGTTAATGTTTTATACACTGGAAATTCTGGGAGTTGAACAATGTAAATTAATACTTTCCCTTTATCCCTTGAAAAGCAACAGACATCAGACTTAAACCTCTTTTTGCAGATTTTTTACTGTAGGAAGGTAAAAAGGCTGGACAATTTTGTTGCCTTTCTAGCTGCAATAGAAAGCTGGCTATAGTCTTTTTTTAGATTTTTTTTCATTCATGTGAACTATGAGGACTATCTGAATGACTCAATTGTCTCGTGATCCAACCTTAGAATACCTTCAGGCTAATGCTCTTATAAACAGACAGCAAAGCTAAGTAGAGTAGCTACTGCATGTGAACTAGCTATGAAGGCTGGCATTTGTTTTGCCATTTCTATATAAATAAATACGTATAATCTAAATGTATTAATTGGAATTTCTTAATGATCGTATTCATTGGGGACATATAATGATATTTATTTTGAAGAGTTAAAGGAATGTCTGTAAACCTGAAATAATCTTTGAAACACAATAGTGTTACCTTCTTGGCCAGATTTTTACACTGTTACTAAATAAAGTATAGTACAACAACTGGATCGAAGGATTTAATTTCTTGGGTGAG